AACTTTTTTTCATATTCAGGTAAGGTTAAGGGTAAATTTGTGATAAAATGTGCATGTTTAAGGGAATATTAAAGGGACTCTTTGCTTCCTGTTTCAATATTCGGGGTGCTTTTGGGGGGCGGGGGGCTGGGGTGGGGGTGGGGGGGGAGGGGCTTTCATACTCATACCTTTTAGTTCTTGCTTGTGTTAGAGTATGTCGTTCGATGTTCCTGAAATTTGGTTCAATGATTTTAGAGTTGTTAGCCAAAGATATAGATTCATTGAAAGATGAGGAAATTTAGGTCTGTAAGATATTTCGTTCAGAATATTATATGAAAACGTAAATTGATAACATAAAGAAAAAAAGGGTATTCCATATTATTTTATTTCTATTCTGGTCATGACATTATGTAAAAAAAGAACCTCAAACTTGTGTATTTTCATTAGAGAAAATGTAGAAAAAAAACTAATTCCATCGTATTTCTTCCTCTCTTGTCAACATAATCTGCAACAAAAAATGGAACAAAATGCAGGAACAAAAACATGAAATGAGAGAATTGCCTTTGAAAGTTAGTTCTCTCATTCATAATCTCTGAAATTTCTACTATTTACAGAAACCGTGCCTGCTGTTTCCATTTTGCCTTTTTTTCATTCACGGTAAAGCTCTCACTAATTGGCTATTTACGTAAACTAGGAAAGTATCTCGTTTGTCATATTTCTTGTCTTTTTTAATTAAATATGATCTGAGCAAGGAGCAGAAGGAGGGAGGAAGGAAAGAAAAGGAAACAAGATGTCTTAAAGTTTACATGCTCGTGATGTACTAAATTTGTTCAGAACACACGACACAACACACACACGGCACACACACACACACACACACACACACAGCGGCAGACGCTAGGCACTAGAATACTTTAGATTAATTAGGAAGAGCATTCAATCTTTCAAGGATGTTACTGCCAAACAACCTTTCATTTAAGATCTGTTCATGTTATATATATATATATATATATATATATATATATATATATATATATATATATATATGTATATATATATATATATATATATATTATATATATATGTGTGTGTGTGTGTGTGTGTGTGTGTGTGTGTGTGTGTGTGTGTGTGTGTGTGTGTGTGTGTGTGTGTGTGTGTGTGTGTGTGTGTGTGTGTGTGTGTGTGTGTGTGTGCATCTATGTATATGTAGGTCAATCTATATGTGTGTGTGTTTGTTTTGCATGTGTGTATG